ACCCACAAAACCTGGCATTAAATTGATACTTAAGCACCACCAACCCCACAAACAGCACAGGAGTCACATGATTTCAAAACGGTCTTACCCGTCCTCATTCGTAGGCAAGAGGTTGTTTTGATAAGGGGACCTGCCTTGGCATGGGCCAGTAGGCCTTCTACAGTGTTCCTCCTTTCTTATGTTCTCATGTCTTATGGACATTCCTCAGGTCACGTGCGTCCACCACCTCCACTCTCCCCCTTATATATAATGCCCTTTCTACCCAGTAATGTTTTATAAAAAGGCAATGTGTTTCTATCTTATTACTTCAATTATCTGTCTTATCATTGCTGTGTATTTTTCCAAAATAAACATTAATTTTTCAAAAAAAAATGTCTTATTTTCATCATGTCGCAATTATTTTTGGCACACTCCTGTAAAACTAGTAGGGGGGAGAGTAATTCTTGGTGTAGTTGTGTTGTAGACAACAGCCAGATTAAGATTTTGTTAATCCCTGGGGTACAGGTACTGTGGAGGCCCTGGGCTACAGGCACTGTGAGGCCTCTGGGATACAGGTACCGTGAGGCCCCTGAGCTACAGGGTTACCCGTGAGGCCCCTGGGGCTACAGGGTTTACGTGAGGGGCCCCTGAGTACAGGTACCGTTGAGAGGGCCCCTGGGCTCAGGTACTGTGAAGGCACCCATGGGTACGGTACTGTGTGAGGGCCCCCTGGAAGCTACCAGGTTTACCGTCGAGGCCCCTGAGCTACAGGTTACTGTTGATGCCTGGGGGCTACAAGGTTTACCGTGCGAGGGGGCCCTGAGCTACAAGGTAACCGTTGAAGGGCCCTCTGAAGCTCAGGGTTTTACCAGTAGGGCCCCTGAGCTACAGGGTTTTACCGTGAGGCCCCTGAGCTACAAGGGTCCGTTGAGGGGCCCTGAGCTACCAGGTACCGTGATGCCCCTGAGCTACAGGGTGTACTGTTGAGGCCCCTGGGCTACAGGTACCGTGAGGACCATGAGCTACAGGTACAGTTTGACGGGCACATGAGCTACAGGTAATGGGAGGCCCCCCTGAGCTATCAGGTTTTACCGTGAGTGCCCCTGAGCTACAGGTACCGTGAGGGCCCTGAGCTACAGGTACCGTTGGCCCTGAGCTACAGGTACTGTGAGGGCCCCTGGGCTACAGGTTTTACTGTGAGGCCCCTGAGTAACAGGGTACGTGAGGCCCCTGGGCCACAGGTACCGTGAGGGGCCCCTGTTGCTACAGGTTAACCGTGATGCCCCTGAGCTACAGGTACTGTGAGCGGCCCCTGGAGCTACAGGTACGTGAAGGCCCTGAGATACCAAGGTTTTACCGTGAGGTCCCTGAGCTAAAGGTACCGTTTGAGGCCCTGAGCTAAGGTAACCGTGAGGCCCCTGGGCTACAGGTACCGTTGAGGCCCCTGAGAACAGGTAACGTGGAGGGCCCCTGAGCTACAGGGTATTCGTGGAGGGCCTGGGGCTACAGGTACCGTGAGGCCCCTGGGCTACATGGTAACCGTGAGGGGGGCCCCCTGGCTACAGGTACGTGAGGCCATGGGCTACAGGTACCCTGGACCCCTGAGCTACAGGGACCGTGAGGCCCCTGGGCTACAGGTTTAAACCGTGTAGGGCCCCTGGTTACAGGTACCGTTGAGGGCTTCCCCTGAGCTACAGGTACTGCTACGATTTGCCCTGAGCTTCAGGTACCTTGAGGGGCCCTGAGCTACCACGTACGTTGAGGCCCCTGGGACTACAAGTTTACGTGAGGCCCTGAGCTTACAGGTACTGTGAGGCCCCTGGGCTACAGGTACCGGTGAGGCCCTGGGGCTTATCAGGTACCGTGAGGGCCCTGGGCTACAGGTACATTGAGGGACCCCTGGGGCTTTTTACAGGGTACTGTGAGGTCCCTGTGCTACAGGTACCATGAGGCCCCTGGAGCTTACAGGTACCGTGAGGCCCCTGGGGCTACTGGAACCGTGAGGGCCCCCGGGGGCTTTTTACAGTTACCGTGGGGCTCTGGGGGCTACAGGTACGTGAGGCCCCTTGGGCTACAGGTACCGTGAGGCCCCTGAGCTTACAGGTACCGTGAGGCCCCTGAGGCTACAGGTACCGTGAGGCGCCTCCTGGGTAACACGTTACCGTGGGGCCCCCGGGCTACAGGTTTCCGTGAGGCCCCTGGGCTACAGGTAACCGTGTGGGCCCCTGAGTCTACAGGTACTGTGAGGCCCTGGGCTAAGGTACCGTGAAGAGGCCCTCCGGGCTACAGGTTACCGTGAGGCTCTGGAGCTACAGGGTACCGTGAGGCCCCTGCGGCTACAGGTGGTTACCCGTCGAGGCCCCTTGAGCTTTACAGGCATTAACGTGAGGCCCCACTGTAGTACAGGTACTGTGAGGGCCCCTTGGGCTACAGGTACCGTGAGGCCCCTGAGCTACAGGTACCGTGAGGGCCCAGGGTACAGGTACTGTGAGGCCACTCGGGCTTTACAGGTACTGTGGGCCCCTTGAAGCTACAAGTTCCGTGAGAGGCCCCTGGGGCCACAGGTTTACCTTGGAGGGCCCCTGTGACTACAGGGTACCGTGAGGCCCCTTAGCTACCCAGGTACTGTGAGGGCCCTGAGGCTTAAAGGTACCGTTGAGGCCCCTGAGCTACAGGTACCGTGGAGGTCCCTAGCTACAGGTACCGTGAGGCCCTGAGACTTACAGGTAACCGGTGAGGCCCCTGGGCTACAGGTCCGTGAGGACCCTGAGCTAACAGGTTACCGTGAGGCCCCTAGATCTTCAGGTAACCGTGGAGGCCCTGGGCTACAGGTTACCGTGAGGGGCCCCTGGGCTTACAAGGTACCGTGAGGGCCCCTGGGCTACAGGGTTTCCGTCAGGCCCCTGGGCTACAGTTACTGAGAAACCCCCCTTGGGCTACAGGTACCGTGAGGGCCCCTGGGTACAAGGTTACGTTGAGCGCCCCTGAGCTACAGGTACGTGAGGCCCATGAGCTACAGGACAGTGATTTTGCCCCTCGAGCTACAGGTACCCTTGAGGCATGTGTACACGTAACCGTGAGGCCCTGGGGCTTAAGGTATCCGTCGAGCCCCTGAGTACGGGTACTGTAGGGGCCCCTGGGCTTACAGGTTATACCGTGTGGCCCCCCCTGGGCTACAGTACCGTGAGGCCCCTGGGCTACTGGGTAACCGTGTGGGGACCCCTGGGCTTACAGGTACTGTTGAATGGGCCCCTGAAAGTACAGGTACCATGAGGCCCTGAGCTTAACAGGTACCGTGAGGCCCCTGGGGCTACAGGTACCGTAGAGGCACCCGGTCTTTACAAGGTTACCGTGAGGCTCTGGGTGCTACAGGTACAGTGGAGGCCCTGGGCTACGGTTACCGTGAGGGCCCATGAGTACAGGTTACCGTGGAGGCCCCTGAAGCTACAGGTTACCGTGAGGGGCTCTGGTCCTACACGTACCGTGAGGCCCCTGGGTACAGGTACCGTGAGACCCTGAGCTACAGGTTTCCGTGAGGCCTCTGAGCTACAGGTACTGCTAGAGGTCCCCTGGGGCTACAGGTACCGTGAGGCCCCCGGGCTACAGGTCCGTGAGGGCGCATCTGGGCTTACAGGGTACAGTGAGGGCCCCCTGGGCTACTAGGTACCGTGAGGCCACCTGAGCTACAGGTTCCGTTGAGGCCCCTGAGTTACAGGTACTTGTGAGGCCCCTGGGCTACAGGTTACCGTGAGGCCCCTGAGCTCAGGTTCCGTGAGGCCCCTGAGCTACACGGTACTGTGAGGCCCCTGGGTACAGGGTTTCTGTGAGGCCCCTGAGTACAGGTACCGTGAGGGTGCCCTGGGGTACAGGTACCGTGATGGCCCCGGGCTAAGGTAACTTGTGGAGGCCCTGGGCTACAGGTTACTGTTGAGGGCCCCTTGTGCTACAGGTTATGTGAGGCCCCTGGGCTACATGGTAACTGTGGGCCCCTGAGCTACAGGTTTAACCGTGGTGAGGGGCCCCTGGGCTACAGGTACCGTACGGCCCCTGGGCTTACAGGTTACACGTGGAGGGCCCCTGAGCTACAGGTTACCCGTTAGGCACCTGAGCTACAGGTACCGTGATGAGGAAACCCTGGGCTTACAGGTTACGTGAGGCCCCTGGGCTTACAGGTTACCGTGAATGGCCCCTGTAGCTACAGGTACCGTTTGAGGCCCCTGGGCTACAGGGTTACCGTTAGGCCCCTGAGCTACAGTTTACCGTGAGGCCCCAGTGATTTTTCAAAGGAAAAAATATAGTCTTCACAGTCACAGTTCATCATATAGGTGATGGAATAACGTATTATAATTATATACTTTACAGCAGTAAATGTGAAACACTTTTCACTATCTCTGAGGGCTCCCCCCCCTCATGGCGGAGGCCTGGGGACTGCAGCCCCTGGAGGCTCCCCACACTGGCGGAGGGCCCTGGATGACATGGCCCCTTGAGGCTCCCACCTTGCGGAAGGCCATGGCTGCCAGCACTGGAGGCTCCCCACCTGGCGGAGGCCCCTGGGGACTGCAGACCCTGGAGTGTCACCACCTGGCCGGAGGCCCTGGGACTGCAAGCCCCCTGGGTGGCCCCCCCCTGGCGGGAGGCCCTGGGCTGCAAGACCTGGAGGTCCCCCACCTGGCGGGAGGCCCCTGGACTGCAGCCCTGGAAGGCTCCCACCCTGCGGCGAGGCCCTGGACTGCCCAAGCCCCTGGAGGCTCCTCACCTGGGCGGAGGCCATGGCTGCAGCCCCTGGCAGGGGTCCCCACCTGGCGGAGGGCCCTGGGGACTGCAGCCCCTTGGGAGTGGCTCTCTCCTGGGCGGAGGCCCGGGGACTGCACCCCCTGGAGGCTCCCAGCTGGCGGAGGGGGTCCCAGGACTGCAGGCCCTAAAAAGGCCCATTGCCTTAAATCCAGCCATTCGGTTGCAGGATTATTAATCCCGCCCTGGTTTTGCGCAGGTGAATTTTTCACATTACGGCAGTGAGCGAGGGAGGTGAGAGTGTGCGCACGGAGGGAAAGGTTCCCAGGACAACCACCCCCAACCTGCTGGTGAGGAGGGCGGCCTCTGTCGGACGGACTCTGGTTACATATCGTGTAACCCCAGCTGCGCCCGTCGACTAGGTCCTTTCGTCATATATTGAATGGTTAAAGTTGATCTCCCACTCCAGTTGTTGTCATCTGTTTATTTTTTTCTGTAATTCCTTTTATCATTGCTATAATGTTCCAAAATTCACATATTTTTTACCGTCTCACTCATTACAGTATAATATCTACGTCGTTTTTATAGTTTTTGATTTTCCTGTTATTCTACCATAAATCTTCCTTTTGTTGTGGCTTGTGGAATATTTTTTGAAATTAAGTCACTGTTATTGAAGTTCATCTATTCTTATCAGTATTTTTTTTCTGTTTCTTTTCCCGTGTGCTGAAAACATTTACATTTAGTATCCAGGTTTGTCTTTTCCTTTCTAAACCATAAATTTCTTCTCTATTACTACTGTCAAAAAAATTGTTTAATATTTTACGGATTATTTTTCTTTAATAATCAATTAGATTATACTCAGGCCAGTAATTATTTTTAAAACAGTTAAATGGAACAACTGGCAGTTAAACTTTATACCAATGGATGGAACACAACTTGGCAGGAATACTTTCCTAAACAGAGGTGGAACATCCTGCAGTAATACTTCATAAAAAGAGGATGGGATAATCAACTGGCAGTAATACTTTATTTTAACACGGGATGGAAATACCAACTGGTAAGTAATATTTTATAAAACATGGGATGAACAAACTGAAAGTTGATAGGGTTTTATAACAGGGGATGGAACAACTGGCACTAATATAGTTTATAAACAGAAGTCGATGGTAACCAACTGGCAGTGAATACTTTAATTAACATGAGAAAGGAGCAGCTAGTCAGAAACCGTTTATAACTAGGGGCTGGAACAATGGCGTTAATGTTTATAACCAATGGGATGGAAAACAAACTAGCAGTATATAGGTTGATAACTTGGGATAAAAACAACTGACAGTAATTAATTTATAAAACATGGAATGGAAAAACAAACTGGCAGTAATACTTTTTAAACATGCGATGGAACAATGGCAAGTAATTAGTTTATAACATGGGATGGAAAACAACTGGCAGTATAACTAGTTATAAACAGGGATAAAACAATGACAGTAATAATTTATAACTGGAAATGGAACAAACTGGCAGTAATTACTTTATAACTGGGATGGAACAACTGGCAGTAATACTTTATAAATATGGCGTGGGAAAACAAATGGCAGTATTGTTTATCAAAACATGGGATGGAACAAACTGGGAGTAATACAGTTTATATATATGGGCTTGGAACAACGGGAGTAATACTTTATAAACATCGGGGCTGGAAAACAACTGGCAGGAATAAACTTTATAAAACATGGGCTGGAACAACTGGGAGTAATACTTTCTTAAACATGGCTTGGAAAAAAACTGGCAGTAATACTTTTTAAAACATGGCTGAACAAACTGGGAGTAATATACTTTATAAACATGGGCTGGGAAATAATTGGTTTAGTTATACTTTTATAAACATGGGATGGACAAACAACTGTCAGTTAAAAATTTTATAAACATTGGGGATGGAACAAAACTGGGCAGTGAACAGGTTTATAAAATTGGCTGGAACCATCTGGGGAGTAATACTTTATAAACATCGGCTGGAACAACTCGGCAGGACAACTTTATAAACATGGGCTGGAACAACTGTCATTAATAGTTTTATAACATGGGGATGGAACAAACTGGCCAGTAATAGTTTATAAACATGGGATGGAACAACCTTGGGAGTAAACTTTATAAAACATTGGGGCTGAAAATACTGGTAGTAATACTTTATAAAATGGGATTGGAACAAACGGTCAGTAATAATTTTTTATTAACTGGGTGGAACAAACTGTCATGTAATAGTTTATAAATTGGGGCTGGGAACACACTGGCAGTAATACTTTATACATGGGATGGAACAACTGGCAGTAATAGGTTTATAACAGGATGGAAACATCTGGCAGTAATAGTTTATAAAACTTGGCGGGCTGTTAACCAACTGGCGTAATACTTTATAACATGGGGATGGACAACTTGGCAGTTAATACTTATAACATGGGATGGAACAATGGCAGTAAAAGTTTATAAACATGGGGATGGGAAACAACTGCAGTATTAGTTTTTAATACCTGGGATGGTACAACTGGCACAGTTAATAAATAAGTTTAAAACATAGGATGAAAACAACTAGTAGATAAATACTTTTAACATGGGATGGAAATCACTGGCAGTAATTTACTTTTTAATAATGGGATGGAAACAACTGGCCAGTAATAGTTTATAAACATGGGGAGTGGGAATAAAACAACTGGCAGCAATACTTTATAACCATGGGATGGAACAAAAAAACTGTCAGTTATACTTTATAACATGGATGGAAACAAAAACTGGCCAGGTAACAGTTTATAACATGGGATGAAAAACAACTGGCAAGTAAAATAGTTTATAACTGGGGATGGAAACACAACTGGCAGTAATACTTTTATAACTTGTGATGGGGGATCAACTGGCAGTATTAGGTTTATAAAAACATGGGGATGGAAACAAACTGGTGGTAGTAATACTTTTATAACATGGGCTTGAACAAAAACTGGCGGTAATACCTTTATAAATTGGGGATGGAAAACAACTGGCAGTAATAGTTTATAACATGGGTGGAAATACAATGGCAGTAATTAATGTTTTTATTAACATGGGATGGAAAAACAAAACTGGCAGTAAAAGTTTATAAAATGGATGAATAACTGGCAGTAAGAGTTTTATAACATTGGGATGCAACCACTGTGCAGTAATAGTTATAAACATTGGGATTGAAACAATGGTAGTATAGGTTTATAACATGGGATGGAAAACAAATGGCAGCAAAAGGTATAAAATGGGATGGAAACAACTGGCAGTAAAGTAAAAAGTTATAAAAGGGGATGGAACAAACTGGCAGTAACAGTTTATAATGGGAGGGACAAACTGGGCAGTAAAAGGTTTTTAACATGGGGAATTGGAACAATGGCAGTAAAATTTATAACAGGGGATGGAACAAAATGGCAGTAATATTTTATAACAGTTAATAAAAACAAAACTGGCCCAAGTAATAGTTTATAACAGTTAATGGATCAAAAACTGGGCAGTAATACTTTATACAAAATGGATGGAACAAAACTGGGCCAGTTAATACTTTAAACATGGGATTGACAAACTGGATTTTGTATTAATACTTTATAAACAGAAGGGATGGGAAAACAATTGGCAGTAATACTTTATAACAGTGGATGGAACAACTTGCAGTAAATACTTTTTTTTATAACTTGGGGATGGAACCAACTTGGGGTAGTAAATTTTTATTGTAGCATGTGATGGAACAACTTGAAGTGGATGTTTTAACAGGGGATGGAACAATGGCCAGTTAAATACTTTATAACATTGGGGGGATAGGAAAACAAACTGGCAGTTTAAAAAGTTTATAAAAGGGGATGGAATACATATGGCAGTAATAGTTTATTAACATGGGAGGATCGGAACCAACTGGCAGTAAAAGTTTATACATTGGGCTGGATACAACTGGCAGTAATCTTTAAACATGGGGCTGGAAACAAACTGGGAGTAATACTTTATAAACATGGGCTGGAACAATTGGGCTGTAAATACTTTATAAAACCATGGACTGGGAAACAAAACTGGGGAGTAATTACTTTATAAGAGGCTGGAAAAATACTGCAGTAATACTATAAAAATAGGCTGGAAACAATCTCGGGAGTAAAACTTTAATAACCATGGCCCGCACTCTAAGGAAATCAACCATACATATTGGCAGTTTAATACTTTTTTATTTAACATGGGGATGGGAACAATGGCAGTAAATTACTTTATAAAAAACATGGGGCTTGGGAAACAACTGGCAGTATACTTTATAACATGGAATGGAAAACAAATGGCAGTATACTTATAACTTTGGGGCTGAACCAACTTGGCCAGTAAATAGTTTACTAACATGGGGATTGGAACAACTGGCAGTAATACTTTGATAAATTGGGCTGGAACAACTGGCAAGTAATAGTTCTATAACATGGGTATGGAACAACTGGCAGTAATTTTTTTTAAAACTTGGGCTCTAACACTGCAAGTAAATAACTTAAAAAATTGGGGATGGAAAACAAACTGGCAGTAATAGTTTAATAACATGGGATGAACAACTGGCAGTAATAGTTTTCTACAAGGGATGGAAAACTAACTGGCTGTATACTTTTAATTTGCGATGGAAACAAACTGGCAGTAAATTAGTTTTATAACATGGGATGGATCAATGAACAGTATTAGTTTTATAACATGGGGCTGGAACAAAAACTGGCGTATACTTTATAAACATGTGTCCGGAAACAAACTGGGCAGTAATACCCTTTATAACATGGGTGGAAACCAAACTGGGGGAGTAATACTTTATAACATGGCTTTTAACAAACTTGCAGTAATTACTTTATAAACATGGGTGGAAAAACAACTGGGCGTAATTACTTTATAACATGGGTGGAGAAACAACTGGAGTAATTACTTCATAACATGGGCTGGAACTCAGGCTGGGAGTGAGTGGTAATACTTTATTATATCATGGGCTGGAACAAAAAACTGGTAGTAATACTTTATAAAACATTGGGATGAACAACTGTCGTATACTTTGTAACATGGGATGGAAAACGTTCAGTAATAGTTATAACATGGGCTTGAACAATCTGGCAGTAATACTTCATACTTAGGCTGGAACAACTGGCAGTAATAGTTTATTAACACGGGATGGGGGAATTTGGCTGTAATACTTTAATTAACTGGGATGGGAAAACTGGCAGTAATAATTTATAACATGGGATGGAAACAACTGGCAGTAATACTTTATAACACATGGGGATGGAAAAAAACTGGGCATCCAGTAAAGTTTTATAACAGGGAATGGAAAAACAAACTGGCCAGTAATACTTTATAAAATCATTGGAGATGGAAACAAATGGCCCAGTAATAGTTCATAACATGGGATGGAACA